CAGGCAGTCAAGGACCAACTGCCCTGCAATATATGAACATTTGGGGTCACAACACCTGTTGGGTAGCTGAGGGGGTTATGAGCACAGGTCCAGGACTGCTGTTTGGGGAATATGCTCTAGCAACAGGCAGTTCAAGAATCACTGACACAGGAAACTCTGCCCCACCCACCCTCTGGTAGCCCAGAACACCACAGAAATTGCTATTGCTTGTTAAGATGTGTATTACTATCACCCCCCAATTCTGTCAGTGAAGCCTGCCAGAATCACCTCACTGGCATTTTAATCCAGTACTGAAACTCATTAATGAACAAGACAAAGGCTCTCCTAAGCACCACCCTGGGCTATAAGCACAGGACAGCTGCACAATTAATGTCTGCTTGGTGACGAGAAGGAGCCTTCTGCGGCGTTCTTTGATGATCAAGCCACTATTTCTGACACGGTTTCGGGAATGGAGACTACAGATGCCCCAACATGATTTCCTTCCTCAAGTGGGAAGAAGAGTGGGATGGTAGATGGCCAGCCGGGAGGCCAGGACTCCCCAGAGACCTGCCTGATGTAGTTCTGTGGCTGTGAAGAATGCACCCAGCCTGGTGATTTGCACGAAGAGACTTGCAAAAGCTCTTTCTACAAATATACTCTCAAGCCTCTTGGCAGCTTTTGGAGGACAAGGTCTTTCGTTCATTCATTCATTCAAGAAATAGACAAAAGAACATCCAAGTTTAGAACTTGGAGGGTCCCTGGAACTCTCACCTACCCTGTGTCTTTTCGTACTCCCTTCACATCAGAATGACCTGAATTAAACACCCCAACCACCCTGATCCTGGGCAAGAGGCTCAACAGAGACATACTTCTGTGGACTTTTCCAGCGTGGAAGGCAAGTTCACTAGTAGACCAATGCCCTAGAGTGGGCAGAAAAACAGACTCCACTCATCCTACCTATACCACTGAAGAGATGAGGCTAGTGTGGTGACGGCTGGGGAAGGCCTTTCCATTAAGTCACTAGTGATCTTAAAACCAAGTCACATTTTCCAAACACTGTAATCTTTCCTTCTTTCCACAAACCCCACCGCCCCCCTCTCGTTAGTAGAGTCGCAGCTACCTAGGGCTTCACCTGCTCTAGCCTCGGTGGCGCTGCAAGAGAGTGTTATTTGCTTGGTAACCCATGCACACCAGAGAATAACAGACACTCAGGAGAAGGCGAGGGAGAAGAAACATATCAGAGGGGAAACAACAGCTAAAAGAATCAGAGGTGAAACCCCAACTGAAAAGGGCTCCTTCGCTTTAACCACCTGCTGCCCAGTGTCTTCTGTGTAGAGGGCAAGCTGCTGGAGGGCAGGCCCGGCATCCGCTGCTTCCTTGAATCCACCTCCACAACCATGCCCCAATTCTCAGCCCTGTGCTTCCCTGCTTTCCACATAGTAGGACCCACCGTAAGCATCATGTTCAGTTGTTCAAGCGAAACAGAAACAAATAGCCATTGTGACAAACAACTGGTTATTCCTGAGCCTTCTGACTGCTTGTTAAAAAAAAACATACATTTCCCCAAACCCAGTGAATCCAAAGCAATAAAAGAGGAGCCTGGGGATCTGTATTTTTACTAGCATGCCAGCTGATTCCTATCTGCAAGTTTGGGAAATGTTGAAAGAACCACGCTCTGTGGTCAGAACAACCGGGTTGAAATTCCAGTTTTGAAACTTCTTGGCTGTCTAACTGGAGTCTCTGTTTTCTCATCTGTAAAATGAGAATAAGGTCTACTTTGCAGCACAATTTAAAAGATTTCAATCACAATTTAAAGAGGCTCACAAAGGCCCTAATGCATAGATGTTCCCTGACGGTTTGCTTCCCTTTATCCTGAAGACATCTCAGAACTACTGAAAAGTTCTGATTAGATTATGTCTAGATTGTTGCTTTAGCTTCAAGCCCCTCTTGCAACAACCAGGCAAATGGGTGCCCAGCCTCTTCCGAAACACCTCCAGTAACAAAAGATCAAATTTACTATCTCTGGAAGCAGTCCATTCCATTTTCAGACAGTCTTAATCATCAGCTCTTTCTTCCTTCTGTGGAGCTGAGATCTGCGTTGGGTGACAGAACAAATCTAATCCCTTTTCCACATGATAGGGCAATGCAATTAACTTAGATAAGGAAATTGAGGAGCAGCAGGTGTGTGTGGGGGGTTCAGTTTTGAACACACCGCTTGTTTGAGGCACTGGGAGCACAGCTTCATGCCCACATCCAGCAAATAGTTGATATGCAGGTCTGGGGTTCACTAAAGACATCAGGGGTGTCATTTATACAACAACAGGATCAGAATCTGTGAAAATAAATGACATTGCCATTTAGGGGGCAGAGCTAATGAAAGATATCGAGGAATGGTTAGCAAGGTAGGAAGAGAGCCTTTAAAGAAGCAAGCAGGGAATTCGTGGGAACAAATGTGGTGAAGAGGTCAGACCAATGGCAGAGAATCAGTGAACCAGTCATTGGATTTGATGACTAAGAGGTCACCGTGGATCCCTGACAGAGTTGGGCTTCTGCTCCTCTCCGGAGCCTTCCGGAGTTGCTTGGAACCACACCACCATGCTGAAAAGCAGATGCACACTTCCTTTCCTACTGAAAGAGAGGTGATTTGAAGACATAGCAGGAGCAAGTACAGATGACTCCAACACTTCCTAACGTGGATTTAAGAGGGGCTTCTCCAAATAAGGCTCCCAGGCTCCTATCTTTTGGTGAAACTCTGCCTAGTACAATCCTTCCTGGATATGAACCACAGTAAAGAACTTTCTTGTGTTTAATACTGCATTTGCCCAACTTACTGAACCACTGATTTTGCACACAATACCTATTAACATCTCGGGGAACCAGTGTTTCCTGGCACATAATTTGGCACATGTGGCAAAGAGAAGAGAGACAACAGTTTAAGGGACTATTGGTATCAAGGGAATTTTTTTTCTCTTCCTTTTAAGAATGGAAGAAACTTGAATTTGTTCACATGCTAACGAAAAGGAACGAAGTGCAGAACGAAAGAATGCCAAACAGGCACAAAAAGGAACAGAGCAAGCCAGGCTCTGGTAGAGGGGTTAGCTTAGCGAAGACCTCAGCTCACTGCTTTAGCCCCATAAAACACTTTCCTTGACTAAGTCTAAGTCTAGTGATCACAAATGTTCATTATTATAAAGCAGAGGGCACCGATGTTATCTAGATAAGGTTAAGGGCAGATTACATAAACCATATAAACTGATTCACTAGAAACAGAGTGCAGTGTCCACCCCCTCCCCAGAGTCAGATGCAATGTATCCCTTTCCCCAGGGCCAGAGAAGAGGGTGTTCCAGGTCTTTTGGGTCTTCTAGGTCAGGAGCTAATGCCCCACTTCCCCTACCCAGGCAGGGAGAGCTCTAGCACAGGATAGGTGGAGAGAGGAAATCTAAAAATAAAGCTCTCCGAAGAAACTGTCTTGCCTAAAGAGCAGCTTCCCACGCACACTGGAGTGCCACATCTGCGGGGGCTGGCAGCACGGGAACGGAACAATCCTGACCAAGTCACATTAGTATTACCCTTTTGCTGGGGGCAACAGCACATTTCTGCTTCCCCCATCAGCATCCTGGTGTCTAGGCTACAGACCCAGAGCAAGGGCTTAGTGACTGAAAAGATCACCAGTGACTAGTCCAGCCTTCCCCTAGCTCTCCTCCCTTCACAGCAGGAGGTGAGCACAGCAAAAGTGAAGAAAGCTGCTCTCAACAAACAAGGAGTCAAGTTGAGGGTTCATTTTTTAAAAAAGAATCATGAAGGTTTCTAGTGGGCTTCAGACTCAAAGCTGGGCTGCTCCCTGGGCTCTGCTCCCTGCAGGCAGGCTAGGGACTACCAGCTGAGGGAAAAGGAAATCAAGCACTGGAACCGAACTGCAATTAGCATTTATATCCACTTGTTATCCTCAGGTCAAACCGCAAAGACAGAGCAGTTGTCCCATTGCCAGGCAAGTAGCAAATGTAGCCTTCTCTCCTAACCCCGCAGCAGGTATCAGAGGCCACTAGGGAAAGTTCAACCCAAGAGTTTAACACAGCCCCACACCTAAGCATTAAACACACACACACACACACACACACACACACACACACACACACACACACAGCGCTATCTCTGGCTCAGGAGAGTTACCCCACCACCTCTTACTCTAAGGATTTTAACCTTGGAAAGATACAATGTACTTGCACCACACTGTTTGGTTTTGCCAAGAAGCTAGGGCAGGAAGAAGACAACCATCCCTACTTCTACAAGGAGGCCACAGTGTTCACTTAGCAGTCCAACTCCCCAAGAGGTTTCTACTTTGACCTGCCGAAGTATTATAATGTGCCTCCAGGGTCAAAAGCTTAACCTTGCTCAGTACCTCAGAGTAGCTTTCAGCAGCAAGACAGTCAATGCTATATATCCGTTCCCTCCACCCACCCTTCCTGGGGACCATACACCATCCCATCCCATGTTCCATGATTCAGATACAGCAGACCAGCGCAGCAGGGAGGAAGAAAACACCGTTTTAAAAAAAGACCCAGAAGCAGCAACCTGTCAGTTCTTTGGTCTCTTACAAGAGACCCTGTACCAGAACACAGTGATAGCTGATATGCTCAGATACAAAGGCTGATGTCTACTATGCATATGTGGAAGGGGGGGATGCCAAGTTTTCCCCTCAAATCACAGATTGCAAGCAAAGTACTCTGAACATTTGAGTGCTCTTTGAATGCTGACTAGCAACAATCACCCAGCAGTCTTTTACAATTAGAGCAAACTGAAATGTTCCCGTACTGAGTCATTCATGAGCAAAGAGGAAGAAGCCAGCTCACAGAAGGGAGAGACCCTGACCATAAAGTACACAGCCTGAGCATACAGTGCAGAATGCTGCTTTAGTACTGGGAACACACGCTCCCAAACCCACTAGTTAAACAGGAAGGGCTGTGTCCGCACAGAGCTCTCCTCACGCAGCACAAGGCCTGTTGCTCAGAAGTGTGACTTACCTGACATACAAAGACCTCTTCTCACTTGTTCGGAGGGACCCAGACCCAGAGCTCATGCTGCTGTTCATCATTTGTTCTCGCAAGTCGTGTATCTTCGATTCAAAGCGACTGTACTCTGTCAGGGAGACAAGGAAAAGAATGAACCCAAGGAGCTGCACCAAGCCTCTGGGCCAGTGGCTAAAGAGCCAGGAGGACACTGGGCTTCAAAGCAGCCGGCACCAGCACAGTCAATCTTTGCTGTGATAAGCAGAGTCCCTCCTCCAAGCACAGACAGACGTCTTCCCACTCACTGACCAAGAGAAGGAAGAAACACACCTGAAAAAGGAGTAACATTTGGACATATCGAATGGCAAAAGTTTTTATCTGCCTTGAAATCTCACTGATCCTTAATAAAAACAAAACAAAACAAAACAAAACAACTGGAAAGAGGTTCCAGTGCAGCCTTCATAAATCTTTAGAGCAGGCACTAAGGCCCAAGGAGAGCAGATGGGAAAGGAGACTTTCCCAAAAAAGTGGATTGCAGAGAACAGATGGCCCTGAGACACAGGGTGGAGGGGCTGGAAAGGACCTGAGGCCATTATATCATTGTTAGGCAAGGAAGATGATTTGTTTCTAGATGACGTTTTCTTTTTTTGGAGGGGGAGACAGTACACAAAGGTAAAAACAAACCGACCTCACAATCAGATGAGAAGATCACAAACCTCTCCTGAGTTATTTCCCTTTTAACAAACAGAAATTCTCCCAAACCGAGAAGTCTGCTGTCACCTTTCTCCTCCAAAATCATCTAGTCTGTGGGGTTGTAAGTCCATATGCCCAGCTTCATACCCCACTACCACCATCACAACAGCCTTGAAACAGCCTTATCACTCTGGAAAGGCGACTACACGTTTACACCCAACTTGAGAAAACCTGATAGAGGAAAATTAATTCTAGCTGTACAATTATTATAAAAGGCTTTTTTTTTGAATACGGATGCTTTGCTGTGACATTCTCCTAGTACATTTAAAATATGATATTCACATTTATTCTCCCCCCACACACAACAATTTTTAAGGTCTGTAACTGCTGCATAAAATGGGATATATGTAAAGCACAGGCTGTGGAAATGGGAGAAGATAGGCATACCTCATTATGACAAGATTTCAGAGGAAGACAAAATTTATAGTAGGGGTTGAAGGTTGTGGAACTGCTTTAAAAAACAAACATGTTTCCAGGGAAAAAGAATTCCACAAAAGCATTTTCATGCACCATAGAGGGCTGGCAAGAAGCATCCCTATCTAGTCTGTATGACTCTACAGGCAGAAAACAAAACACCTGTTCCAACACCTGACACTCCCCTTCCCTCAGCAAAGCAATCTGACCTTCAACTGGGTATAAAGGGAAATGCTAAAAAGCCTTAAGGGGAGGGAATGGAGTTTTAACTCACACAAATATCCTCAACAAAGTTTATTTTTGTTCACTCTGGTACCAATGAAGCCAACTGGTTAAATTCATGTGTTCTTTGATTCATCACGCACTGGTGTTAGGGTGATTTGTCCTCATTACCCACTCCCGTCCCTGAAATCCTGCAGGAAGCAGTTAAGTCACTGACTCACCCATTAAGTGTTGGGGGAAAAAGACAGCAGCTGGACAGTGTCCCCGTTCTGAGGGTTACAAGGCAACACATCAATATCAATGAGGCGTCGCGATCGAAATGTAGAGGGTGGTGACCGGTCTGTCATAGAAGCCCTGGACTGCCCGAGAGTGCAGCAGCAGGGCTGTCTACCTTTCCTCCTGCCCAGGGAACTGGCCCTACTCCAGGGCTCAGCCCTCCACCTGGGCCCTCTCATGGGATTCTTTCTGGTCCTCCTCTTCACTCACGGGCTAGGAGGAGAAGTTGGTGGGACAAAGAGATTTCTGACTAGGCAGCCCTTTCTTGGGGAAGATGAAGTAGAAGGCAGAAATACGCATTGAACCCAGAAAAAATATATACCAAATCTATCCCTAAGCCATTTCCCCCCTCTCGCAACTTGTTTATATATTCCCTTCTTTGGAATTGACTTGCCCGCTGAACTCCAACTTAGCAGCAGGTCATGGCAGTTGCTTAGTAACTCCGTTTCTTAAAAAATCCTTTAAAAAACAACCACCAAACCACTATTTCCTCAAAGCTCCTAATCCAAGGTTGATAATGCCGGGCCAGAGGGCCCACTTAAAATAAACTACAGAAAGAGAACAAGGCTGTTGCTTTAAGGAATCCACGTTCTGTCTTCTATGTGCTACTAAGGTTTCAAGACTATTAAATTGTGTTTTATTCATTTTCTCCCATTCAGATGATCCCCTTAGAGTTCCAGCTGCTCATCAGTCTCTGGCTTTTATCTGTAGAATTATCCAATGTCCACTAGGTACAGGGTAGCCTCTGAATAAATGACTGTTGGGTAAATGACGAGCAAATTAGAAAACTGTGCCCAAGTTGATGCTTCTGTTCTCAAACTAATAAACCTAATGGTTTACTTAACTGATGGCTGCCAGCTTCACTGGGGGCTTGGGAAGGTAGTTAAGAAGTGTTACCATTTCCTTTTATTCTCAAGGTTAACTGTTGGGAGTAATTGGGGTATATGGTTTTTAAACACTCTTTTGTGATGTTAATAACCCACAGTGGGCATCTGACTAACAGACTTTGTTTATAACAAAGAAAAATAATAAATCTAAGAAAAAACATTTAGAATAGTCTTAAGATAGATAGTACCTCATCTTAATACTAGAAGCATCATTTTCCAAGGACAGAAGCTTCACTTAAAAAGCATCTGAAGTCTAAGACCTCACGGACCCTCCTCCCCTTCCACTTTTAACAAAGGAAGCCATCGCTGGAAGGCATCTCCTAGGCTGGTCACTGCCTAGTCACTGCCCACCAGACCTGCCTCTAACCCAAAGGGCCCACTTCAAATAGGCTACTTTAAAGAAACAACACTTATTACTTAACTCTCAAGTCTACTAAACTATGTTTTATTCATTTTTTCCCATTCAGATGAACCCAACCATTTGTGACCCACAAAGATATCCACGGTGAGTCACTGCTCCCTGGTTCCCTTTGCTAATCATGGAGAGAGAAATGAGGGGTGGGGGCATGATCAGACGTCATTCCCTGAAACAGGGTTTCTCATTGACCACCTGGGGTGTCACTGAAGGAGCAGGATTTTGGATCCAACCCTAGACACACTGACTCAAAATCTATTGAGCAGGCCCAGGAATCTGCATTTTTGCCAGGCATCAAGGTGATTCTGATGTCCAATAAGGTTTGAAACTGCTGGTCTTGACTTACAAAATTGAGTTTGTTCTATTAGTTCAGGGAAAAGGTAAGTATCCTGCAGCGTGTATCAAAAGGAAGGTAGGGCCAGAGGGTTGGAAAACTCTCAAAAAAAAAAAAATTTGCCAATACAGTTGCAAATCCTGAAGGAAAGGAAAGCGCTAGAGGCCTCTGTCCAACGTGCCTGCAGAGAAAGCTGATGAACTTACACTTTTTTAAAAATAAAAGTAGCACATGATTTTTAAAAATCTTTACCTTCTTCCTTGAGACATTCCTGTATCACTTCCCCCGTCCCACTTACCCAAAGGTAACCAGTTAATATTTCTAGCATGTATCCTTCCAGACTTACTTCCATAAACATACACATATACTCACAAGTCACACAGAGTCACATAAATCTACTTTTTTCATCCTCTAATAGGTCATGGAAACCCAGCCATGTCAGTACATAGAGATATATCTCATTCTTTTTAATAGCTGCATAGTATTTCATACTATGGATAGACCATAATTTATTCAGTCATATCCCAACTGATGTACATTTAAATTGTTCATAATTTTTAATATTACCACCAATGCTGCACTGTATATTTGTATGAGCATTTCTATAGAATAGATTTCCCGAAGTGAAACTGCAGGGTCAAATTATATGCACACAAAAACATTTGATTGGCACTACCAAACTGAACCCCAACCTTCTGAAACCTTTATGACTGGAGGCTGAGGACAAATTGCTATTCTAAAGCTTCCAGCAGCTTTTCCATTTCTGAAGAAGTGGAGGCAGAATTTACCTTTGAGGACAGATTGATCTTTTGTTTGGGGAAAAAAACACTTCAATAAACCTTTTGGTTTTGCGAAAGTAAAGGCAAGACTATAATCTGGAATAGACAAAGAGGAACCTCAGATATTCCCTCTGCATAATCACAGAAAATGTCAGCCTCCTGTGGGTGGAGTTGTTGGTTCAAAGGACTTGTCCTACCACCTATATGATGCTCTATAGACACTCTGGAAATATCTACTTGACCACTCTGCCTCCCCCTACTTGATGACCTCCCTGTTACTGTAAACAAAACCCCCTTTCCCCTGCACACAACCGGTGTTTCCTCAAGTTTTGCTGATATTTGTTCCTAATTGCTTCCTCAATCCACCGCTTTGTTTCTAACTTCATTGTTGTTGCCTTACTGTTGATTTTGCCTCTTCATTTTCTCTTGACTATCCTAAGAGTGATGGAAAGAAGTTATTAAAAGATTTTAAGTGAAGGAATGACTTGATCATGGGTGTGTGTGTGTGTGTGTGTGTGTGTGTGTGTGTGTGTCATGAGGGCTACTGAGGGGCGATAAAGTGTGGTTGGTGCCTCACATGTAGATTTAGCAGCAGAGGACCATGCTTTCTCTTTTTGTCTAGCCCCTACAGCCCCTAGTGCAAGTAGCCCCTGCTTTCACATCAGCCAAACCAGCCAGCACTCAGCCTCTGTTCAAGTATGTCCAATGTTGGGAAGCTCTCTATTCCTTCATTACTAGACTAGATAACACTATTCAAGAGAAAATTCTTGGTTTAAGGGCCATTTCTTTTGCCAGCTGGTCCTAATTTGGGTGTTTAAAACAACATTTAAAACATGATGGATCTCTTCTTCATAATAGTATGAAGGAACAGTTTAAAGAAGGTCAAAGAACTGGGAAAGCCTGGAGCAGGTTCCAAGAATACTGAATAAGCCTGAATAGAAGGTAGAGTGTGAAAAGAGTAAGGTGGCGGTGATGGAAGGTTGGGGACCAGATTCTAAGAGTCTGAGATAAGACTTTCTTACTAGGCTAGGGGAACCACTGTTAAGTGTT